TACATCGTTTCAATGACCAAGATTAAAATGTCTTTAGCATGATGGAAAAAGGGAGGCTTTACTATCAGCATACAAAACACGGTATTTAATGAGGTCGAAAATGGGTTTGGTCTAAAATTAAACTCCGTTTAACTATCCATTCCCTCATGTGTTAATCCTCTGAAAGGATTAGCCATTTTAAGGAAACCTACATTTAAGTATAAAAAATAAATAAATAAATAACAAAAAGATGCACGAAAATAACTCAAAAGCATTAAGAACACTGAACACTGCCAAGAGCAGCGCAATGCCGGTTGAAGAGAGTTGTGAATAGGCAGACCTTGATAAAAGGAGGTTTTTCAAAAGAATTCATAAGCTTGTTGGTGTGTTCGTATAGCCGTTGGATTACTTAATAAAATGTCATGCATTGATTTGAACTTGCCTTCGTGGGTTGCTGCTTCGGCGTCGACTGAGCCCACCACGGTTCCTATTGTTGAGATCACTGTTGCCATTGGATGCACTGGTTTGGTTCTGGACTAAGTGGAAGGACTGCCATCGTTTCAGTTCCTCTCTGAGGAGTATCAGACGCTCATGCAGCTTCTCATCCTCGCAGATGTCAAATACCGTTTCTCCACCATTCACCGTTGGTGTGTCCAATTTGGCGCCGAAGTTAGTCAGCATCTCTATCACTTCGTACTAAGCGGTTAAATAACGTAATCAGTTTGAAGGACTTAGTTGGATTTCACATGACATCGTTTTAATGCGCAGGGCGATCGCTTTTTATATGATGAATTTAAAAGTCAGGTAGGATCATGAAGCTGGATTTTGATCTTCATAACAACACCACTTTCATAGTTAGGTAAGACAAGAAATTTCCCTTTCCCTTACCAGAATAATTATAAAATTCCTTTTACAGATTGGATCTCGGACTATCAGGCTATCAGCCTCGCGTTGTTGCATTTGAATGTATACATTCATGACAGCATTACTTCCCATCGTTTTTAGGTATCGAAACAAACTAGATGCTACAAGGGCGCTTTGGTATGCTGGAAGGTAGTCTCAACTAGATGTAGTCTACCTTACCTTGGATGGAAAACTTGAAAAAGGGATAAATGTGCATGTGTCGTGGAAAATAGACAAATGCCAAGATGAAAAGAGTAAGGAAAGGATAAACATCTTACCTGCCCCCAGCAAGCGGCCACATGAATGGCCATCCACCCGTCTCGGTCAGGCAAATCGATGTTCGCTCCGTGTTGAAGGAGAAAGCCAACTACGTCCAAGTAGCCACACGCCGCAGCGATGTGCAACTGCAAATGCAATTTCGCCATCGTCTCTTACATCACTAAGCAGCTTAATATACTTCGTTACATACCCAACGAGATTTAGTGCAATTATTCATAATAGCCAAACTCTTATTTACGATCGTTCGCTTTCATTAAGGGGAAGTTGTTCCTCAACGTGAACGCATCAATGGCAGACTTGAAAAAACACCAGAGGACATGTTTAAGCATTCTTGCAAACGCGCCTATTACCCCGCCTACTATCTATAATTTTGAAGAAAATGAAATTCAAGCACGTATAAGAGTTGTAGGCGTTGCCTTGAATATTCACCACTGCGCTACTTGCATGGTGCGGCTCGAACAGACAAAATTGAGCAACTGAATTGCACAATCATAAGGAAAACATCAAAAGCATTGCCAACAAATGATGGTTAAGTTACATGAGACCGATCGGGATACGATAAAAAGTGGCGTAAAAAAAGCTTTTGAGTTAATATAAACCACGTATCTTAGGCACACTCGATTGCTGTTCGACTTTGCGTGACAGAGGCATATTTAGGCTACTGACAAGTGCTAGCAATTTATTTTGCACGACAAAAAACGACCACTTTGGAGCCTATACTAAAAGTTGTACATAAATATGATAAATTTTGAGCTGGATTAAATTAATCAAACGAAATGTAAAGTGATGGGTCAAAAACACTTACAGGAGCTGCGCCCTGACTGTCAAGTTGATTTAAATCACCGGAGGTTTTAACCAAGTGCTCCATCGCTGCGAGCATTTCGCGCTCGGGAACGCGACGTTTTTCGTCGATGTCCTCTTGGGTTATACCTAATGTGAGGGAAAGAAATCACAGCCTAAGGTGCCTACTGCATATGGGGTTCATCGAAGAGACCGTGCTGATGCAGTGTGTTTCTGTAGGCAAAACATCACACCTACTATGCATTGCGAGCATTGACACAATGGAGTGGTACAAAACTTGACAGTACATTAATTGACTACCAAGTGTACAAGTTCATACTTAAATGAAAAAGGCAATATGACTTAAGTAGTTTGAAAATGGTCTGCTTGCTTTTTGTAGGTGTAAATTTGACGGAATATCTTTGTCAGGTTAAAAGTGTGCACTGGACGAAGTCTGACTTCTCATTATCACCAAGCATTTGAACATTACCTGAGAGCCCGTATAACAAAAACAAGGTGGTATCACTCGCATCATTTCCAAAACTAAAATCAGCTTAAAATGCTGTGCCTCTCAAGAAGTGAGCATTACCTCTGCTTGCCATCTCGCTTTCGATGAGATCGAGGGTGGCGTCATCTTCGCAAATATCGTAGGGCATATTCCCGTCAGCATTTACAGCAAGAAGATCGGCACCGCTTAAAGAAAATGCAACGCTTTTTTCATGCTGAAAAGGAAACTCAATTGCTGCCAGCTAATGCTTGCTTCCAGTCAAGTAACGCTCAATTTATAGATACGAAAAAAAGGTGTCAAAGAATAGAATGAGCTAGGAGACAGGACAGGTAGAGGCATGTTTCGTCTTCACTAACGGAGTTGACGTGCGCAATGCCTTGTCGTTTTAAAGCATCTCCCCAGCTTTTCCTCATACACACACACACAGGGAAATATGTCTGCCCTTTCTTATCGTGAATGCATTTTATTGGCCTCTTCAATCATTTCAAGCATTTGTGTTTGCAAGGTAGTGCAATTCGTCACTTCGTTGAGATGCCTGTCTCTGACATCTGAGACCGTACAATATTGATAACGATGAAAGTGTGTTCCACGTCCCACAAACCGATCTCTACAATAAAAGTTTGCGATTCTGCTGAAGGGCCTGGTCTTAGCGCTTTGGATGGGACAAAGTATAAAACTTTCCATTTTTTCACTACACGATTGAAGGAGAAAAACCAACCTTAAGTGACATCTGATGGAGGTATTTGACCAGTAAAATCAGCTACCAACCGTCTGTCTCACATCTCACGATATTTTTTCCCAAGAATCATGTGCGGTCATTCCTCATTTCATTAATAAAGAGATTCAAGCAAGAGTTACTGCTCAAACCAAAAAAATATTTTCCCAATTTAGGTGTAACCGTAGTTACTGCTGTGCAACGAATTCACGTAGATCGGTTCAAAACAAGGAAGGACAGTTCTTCAAGCCTCTTTTAGGTGACCCCAGGAATACGCCGTTGTTTGGGGAGAGAGGGAGGTTGCCTACTAAACAAACCAACAATTTCCTTAAT